TAAAAAAAAAAAAAAAAAAAAAAAAAAAAGATCACTTTATGGAATGAAAAAAAAAGAAAAAGAATGGAAACAAGTTTTACTATTTTAGACATCAGAGACCAATTGAAAGAATTCCATTACTTAGAAAACAATCGAGAGGAAATATTATAACGCATTCCCTTGGGGAAGTAATCGATGCCGTGGCATTGCCATCCACGAGGGCCTCCCAGCCGTAATGGAGAGGAGCATGAGCGAGTTTCAATTGTAATCTCCTCTTTTGTTTTTTCCCCTACAAAAAGTCCACATTGTTGTAGAGGCTAGCCACCAGGGATATGACAGTCCCTTCAGCAGTTGATCATTTGATCATCCAGATGATTTTTCTACACAGGCCCCCTATGAGACTCCCTCCCACCCTTACTTATCATTATTGTCCCCGGCGCATCCCTACTCCCGAGGTCCTACCCGAGTGTTTTTACCACCCAGGATCATCCCCCTTTTCTAGGGACGTCACCTCCCTCCCTAGCCCTGATTGAAGCATAGTCGGATGAGCCTTGTCATACAGGTACTTTGAGCGCTAGGGGTGCACATTCTACTACAAGTCCCATAGGTGAACCCTCTTTCCCCTTGTTAGAGAGATCCTGTCCTTATTATCATCAGATCCCTCTGATTATTATCTTGAATTCTATGTTCTTGAACCCTTTCCTATTGGAGGCTGTTCTTACCTAGAGCATCTCCAGTTTCTGTCCTTAGCAGGCTCCCGGCCACCAACCTCTTCCCTTGCCTCTACCATCAACTGGGTCTCTAGTCATTTCATCATATCCCCCAGAGTATCTCTAGTTTCCGTCCTCATGTTGACGGCTACCATCCACTCCCCCACCTCTATCATCACTAGACCTACTCCGGACTATTCTAATCATATTGTGTTCACCCCTTGAGACAGCCTCTAGGGCAGGTTACCCAACGATATCCTCCACTGGCGCCTATCCCACCTTCACTCCTACCAATGGGACCCCTAAGACATCCCCTACTGCAGATTCCCCACCGATATACTCCAATGGAGTCTTGTCCTACCTACACTTCCCCCAGTGGAGGCCCCGATCGAATCCCACCCGTAGCCCATGGCCTCCCCAAAGCAGAGCCTAAGGTAACCAATTGTATGTGACAAATTTCCCACAACCCTTTACGACATTGCCAATTTTTCAAAAAACTTTCTTCGTTTATCAGGTATTGAACCCCGCAATCACCTGAACAACCCCAACCCCACAATCACCCGGACAACCCCATGGACCAAGAACGTCAGGCAAACCTCTCATAGCCTATACCCAGCATACAACAACCATGCACTAAACCCCTTGGGTGGCACGCAGGCAGTGTTTGTAATCCTAACCATGTGTCAGCCCAAGGGGGGGGTGCAAAAGGCTGTGCATTATGTAAACGCCTGCCGGTGTCCCTGCGCATCGGTGCAGAGTTTTGAACCCGCAACCTCAGAACACAATGCGCATTTCCAACCGGTGCCCTAACCACTGAGCCACAGGCCGGTCAAATAGGAAACGGACTGATGCTCCCCAGAATGGAAAAGAGCCAGAACCGCAAGGTTCTGTTTTTTTGGATTAAAAAAAAACAAAAGAGAAAGCAATTCTTGGAATAGAGACCACAACTAAAAGGAGGAACTAAATAAACAATTTAGAGGAAATATTAGAAAGCATTCCCTTGGAATGGAGAACACAACTAAAAGGAGGAGTTGAATGAGAAAAAATTGGAGATTGGGCAACAGATATTTGCCAAGCCAAGCCCTCAGTAGCCCTCAAATTCATAAAGTACACAGACACCATACAGAAACATAGCAGAATTTCAAGTTTATGAACTACAAAATGAAACATAAACAGTCCTTTGGGACATCCGTTCAAATTGGAATGATACAGAGAAGATCAGCATGGCCCTTGCACAAGGAATCAAGGATGACACGCATACATCGAGAAATGGGAGCGTGGCGTGGGTACGGGATGTAAGCTTTTTGACTTGCCCACAAAGTGGGAGACGAACTGATGCTCCCTAGAATGGACGAGGAGCTACCGACCAGAAAGACATTAGAGAACTAGGAAGTAGACCCGGAGGAATGGGTTTGAGAAGTTGGACTGTCCAATTAGGCAAAAGCAGAGCGCGGAAACTGAAAAAAGAAGGACGAAAAAAGAGAGCGAGGAAACTAATTAACCTGCAAGACTATGAAGTCAAATTACTAAATTAGGTTACAAAAAATAAGAAACAGTTCAATAGACCCACGCCAAATGATCTCAAACTGATGGATCAAAACATTTACGAGAAGAAACATGAATGGACGGCCCGATTCCATGGGAATACTGTTGTGGAGTCTGTGCTTCTTAGCCTTTCCCTTTTTCGAGTTTTTTTGGACTGTTTTCGATACCGTCGTCCGAGCTTTGCTTGGCCGAAGAGCTTGGCTCAGCTCGACAACCACAGCACTTGTCGGGGACGCTGGGCCCCATTCCCAGCATATAATAACTTCTCCTCTTAATATAAAAAAAAAAAAAAAAAAAAAAAACCAGATTAAGAAGCCTAAAATGGCTTATAAGCCTATATTGTTCCATCCCAGTAAAACGAATGCCTAGCAGTACGAAGGAAAAGCGACCAGAGAACAGACAAAATCACCACTGCGCGAAATGTGCACACCTGAGGGTCATCCGTTCCGTCCGCCTTCACATTACCAACCACCGAATACTACAAAGGCTCATCAAACACGACAGAAGTGGGTGCCCTCAAAAAGATTCATAATATGTTCGTTTTGATTTTTTGTCTAGAATTTGGTTGCCAATAATAAAGTCGCAGCTTCGCTCATAAACAGTAGCAGCCTCCCAGATCAACCCGCAATCTCAACCATTTGCACGAAGGAAGGCCCTGATTGTAGGGCATCACCAAAAATTGAGAGAAGGTTAACAACAGTCGTATTTTTCATCACCACTTCAGAACACTCTTCACTACTTCAAGATGCAGCCTGCCTAAACAGGTGGTTTTCAGGGTCTTCGGACCTTTCACCACTTCAGGACCTCCTGAATGGTCCTGAATTGGTGAAAGGTCCGAAGACCCTGAAAACCACCTGTAGACCCTGAAAACCACCTGTTTAGGCAGGCTGCATCCTCAAGGTGAAGGGTGGTTTTCATGGTCTTCGGACCTTTCACCACTTCAGGACCATTCAGGATTTTCAGACTGCCCAAAATTCTCACTTGACCACTTTAGAACACCCTTCACCACTTCAGGATGCAGCCTGCCTAAACAGGTGGTTTTCAGGGTCTTCGGACCTTTTACCACTTCAGGACTATTCATGATTTTCAGACTGCCCAAAACTCTCACTTCAGAATTTTCATGGATTTTCAGCTACCCGATAACCGCTTGTGCAAAAATTCAGATGGGCACAAAATTTGTGCCTTCCTTGCACATAAACGGCCCATGTTGCAGGCTCATCTGAATTTTGGTGATTGGCTGGAATCTGGGCCATTCACGTGCATAAACAACGAACCACCTAGACGGGCCCCTCACAAAGTTTAGGAGCTTCTTTTTTTATTTTTCCCAACACAGGCTCCAGTCTATTGGTGGGGAGCTGCACCTGCTGGAAAACGAGTCCAGTATCTCTCGCAATGAGTGGAATCCAATGGTACGAACAGAAAGTCAAGTAATAGCACTAACCCCTGCTGCTCTAGACGCTTACAGGGGGGCCTAAGGCAAAGCCATGGGCTGCCACACCTCTCCTCTCCGGGGGTAAGCCTAATGGTCGGGAAACAAACCTATGTACCCAGTCACACATAAGGCTTATCGCAGGGAGGAGGGGCCTTGGTTCCCCCGGCTCTGCTCTAGTCAGCAGGCCCCCCTCCAGCTTCCTATGCTTAGATTGTCCCACGCTCCCATAAAAAATCAACTCATATGTCCATCTTGAACGGTCCCCGCCTTCCCATCAAACCACTCCTTACCATTCCATACACCTCTCCTCCTCTTCAGAAAGTCTCATCCATCTTTCCCCTCCCCCCCCTCATAACTCCCCTCCCCACAAATCTACCTCCCGACCCCTCCGAAGATCCCAAATTCAAACTACAACAAACCTACCCCACCCTTCCTACCCCCTAGCAAAATCTACCTACCAGGCCCTGCCCTCTCTGCAGTACACTGCCTAAAATCAACAGCCTCTAAGATCCTACTCATCCAACTCCAGGGAAAACTGCTGAAGCCCTCATTCCCCGCCTTCCTCTTCTGTTTTAGCATGTCCACCAGCGAGGCCATTCTCACACTTTCCATAACTCTATCCTTAAAGCACCATTGTGACCTGCTTACCTTGCCTGATACGTTTATTTCGCATAGTCCATACGGTCCAGAGCACCACTCCCCGAATTACCACAGCCGCACAAAACTTCTGCTTACCCTGTCTACCCACCACCATCGATGCCCCTAATAAGATTGAGGCATCGTCGTCACCCGTCACCATCCGCAGGGAGAGCTCCCTTACAATCAACTCCCACCATCTCCAGAACTCCGCCACCACTGGACAGTGCACAAAGAGATGCGGGATAATTTCAACTTGCCCACACCCCTGGGCCGCACATAGCTCCTTATACCGGCTCCTCCCTGCAAGCCACTAGGTCGTGGGGACTGCCAACTGGTACCACCTGCCACAGCAGGCCAGCCTGCTTCTGGTCCGGCAGAGCCTTCAAGATAGCGCACTGCTCCTTCCATTTTCGGTGCGTCCATCTCGGAATGAACGCCAAGGGGATCCAATTCCTCTTTGCCCACCTACTTCTTAGCTCAGCAGCGATGTCTATCCTTGAGAGGATCACCCTGTCGATCCTTTTCGTTGTGAGTTGCTGCAGCAGAAATACTCTTATTACTATGGTTCTGGAGAGGAAGGAACCATTCCTAAGGGTCCAAAACTAGCTGTCTCCTGGTCTTGGCTAGGCAGAAGTGTAAAAACACCTCCTCCCTCCCCCTGCCTCCTTTACAGACCGACACCGACTCCACACTGGGGAGGTTCCAACTGGCACTACTGGGGCAATCCATCCTCCCCAGTCCCGTCAAAGGCAGTCCCAAGCCCTCATGCCCTGTTTCCACCACCCATTCTGTAGTGTCCGCCTTGTCCCCCTGCACCCTTTCGAGTCTGTAGACAACACGGGGGCAGCATGCCCTCTTCCTTCTCACCCAATACGATATTTTGGACAATACTGCATCCATGAAATAAAGTGGTTCAAAAAAATTATAAAAGAAAAAAATTTGATCCCCCCACGGCCCCCTGCAGCACACTTTGTGTTCACCAGCTGAGATAGTTGGTTTGCCCCCATCTGGCTGCTCTTTGCAGGAATAAGAGTCTTACCGTAGGAGCTTGGATACTACTCCCCGCACAGAGTAGAGCTTGCTAGCGACTTCCTGACGATTGCCCCGATGGTATGTTCACTAGTAACGCCCCGGGTCTAAGGAGTGCCCCGATGGTTCCCCCCATGAGAAGAAGACGCCTTTTACAACAACAAAAGAAAAAAGAGAGGCCATGAAGACTGAAAGTTGAAAACGAATTGGATAGCAAAACACCAAAATTAACTCACGAGTCAAGAAGCCTTACCATGGTTAACAAATTCCTGAAGCACCAGTGGCGGATCCAGTTCTGACAGGCAAATCTCATCGTATGCCAGGGACATCGCATGTGACTTGGCTGTGCCATCCGCAACTAGTGGTTTTGCCACTGCAAACAAGTCAAGACAAGTAGAGAAAGAAATGGACAGAGACAACATTTTCAGACAATGTGCCACAAGCTCTGGCAGCAAGCCTACAATCCTGCGGCCATGACTTCACTCTCGTCATAGAGAAGGGCTGGGGCATGTTTACTTCGTTGTGCGATCAGCTACGAGTGGTTTCACCACAGGAAACAAGACAACTGACATAAAGAAAGTGCTGCTTGCAGTTTCGATGGTGGTCAAATTTTTCTACGGGACGCTTGACCCGTTTCCAGCAGGTGCATCCCCACACCAACAGATAAAGGACATACTGTTAAAAAAAAAAGAAGAAAGGAAAGCATTACCAGTTATCACAAACAATGCCCAGGGTGATATCAGGGGTGTAAATATAATCTCTCTCTCTCTCTCTCTCTCCCTCTCCACCACCCCCCTGCACACACGCACAAAACTAGGCATAAGCAGGTCCTGGGGCATCAGCCCATGATAGTTCTGAATGAGATCCAAAAGAATAGTTCGAGAGCAGGGACATTAAGAAGGCAGTCCTCACAATCTAAGAATGGGCCTGAGGATGGGAAGGGCGGTGTGAGGTCATGTTGGGGGGAAAGGGATGAGAAAGCAGATGGAGGGAACATCGGGAGAGAATGTCTGGAGATGGAAGCTGGAGAGGGGCCATGTGGTAAGGAAATATTGGGGCTGGGAGGATGCGATCTGAACATGAAGGCAGAGGAGGATCGCAACAGGAGCAGCAGCAGGATGCGATAAAAAAAGGAAGAGGAAGATACCAAAGAAGGACGTGGATATTCAAAAAAAAAAAAAAAAGGAGCACAACATGTGCGAGGAAATTGCATTGCTTTTTTCTAAATGTTTGACCTACTCCTTCACCCGCTAAGCCAATCCAATGGCAAGGCCCAATGGGCCCCACTTATTGACTCGAGATCCCAGTACCATTCTCTGAGCCATCAATCAAAGGCGGAATACCTTGTCACAGGAATCTATCCGCGATGCAGCACAGTCAGGGACACGACAGTACACCTAACCGTGACAAACACTGAAAGAAAGACACATTTGATTCAATGTGATGGCAGGCCAAGGGTAGTATCCTACTATCCTCTAACTCACAATAGGCCTTTACTGTGCGTGTCTAGCCACTATGCCTGACTGGAATTACAGTGTGTCCTGGATATATCCAACCAGAGAAGCCCAGAGATCATTCAAATAGGTCCTAGAGTGATGACTCCCTGACACTTCTTTTTTTGTGTCTTTTTTTGTTGTTGTTGTTCCTATTCCTATGATGCTAGAGAAGCATTCTGACAACTTGATCAACGTACCGGCTGATAAGGGTTCACAGTCAAATGCTCAGCGGTAAGAAGACCGACCGGTTGCCTTGCAACCGCCAGGTTGCACTCAACACCTGGAATGGGGTGGAAAAGGGTTCGCAGCCAAATGCTCAACAGTAAGAAGATTGGTCACTTGCAACCGGGTTCGCAGCCAAATGCTCAACAGTAAGAAGATTGGTCACTCGCAACCACCAGGTTGCACTCAGAGATTGCACCTGCAATGGGGTGGAAATTTCACCTGGTCTACAGCGCAACCGGACCTACCACTGACCTGACACCCCTAAGACCCCGGAACAAACCCTAAATGCATGCTATCAGGTCCACAGGATTGCTTTTCGACACGAACTTCTTCAAAGACGGAGAGCGGTGGAAGGTTCATTAAACTTCATTCCCATTCAGTACACATCCAAACCGATTGCATTTCCTTTTCTTCAGGGATCAATATTGAGGGAAGGTTCATTCCCTTTGCGGTCATTACTGATAGGCACTATGCCTTCGCGACCATTCCTTACACAGTCAATGCTTACATGCAATGGTACATTGAATAAAGAACTGATAACCTCACCTAATGGTAGCTTCAGACCAGCTCTGGCCACCGCCTCTGGGATTGACCGAGGATCACCAGTCACCACAAGCTGTCGTGGAATCCCCACCTTCCCTGCCAAATCGCCAGGTGCATTAGAGATTCATCGCATTCCGCAGTGTATAAACACTCTGTGAAGAGTTAAACCTTCCATAAGAATGCATCAAAAAAAAAACGACGAATGTTATGCCTTGTTTAAACAGCCTTGTGGAGAAGTTTTTCATCACCTTGTGGAGGCTGGGGATACAGGACCGCAATGGCTGGCAGCACCGGCTGCTGACGGATGGACAAAGTTTGGTGTGCAGTGGAAGGCCGCCAGGCCCGGGTGTACTGGTGGTTTAAGACAGCATCACCCTTCCCTGCCAAATCGCCATGTATATTGGGAATTCACGGCATTCAGCATTCTAAATACAAATGTAACGAGTTGTACCCTCTTTAACATTCATCAAAATCACCAATGTTATGTCGAAATCGTCAATCAAAACTATGTTGGTACATCTAATGTTTGATAAGCAGAGTCGATATGGTATTGTAGACAAAAGAAGACCGAGAACTCAAAAACAGACAAAGCAAATTTTAACAGAGACAAGGATGACCTCGTCCGTTGTCAGGCCAGCAAATTCGGTTATGCGTCTATACACTACCCATGTACCTCCAGCTATGCATCTACTCGAAAGGAAAAGGATGACCTTGTCAATGTCAGCACGGCAGCATGCACTTCACTGAGTGAACTTCAATAAACACCACCAACATGCACATGCAGCAGGATCATGCCAGGATGGTTTAGACATTAAACCAGGTTCTCACTATATGGTCCAAGAGTTTATGGGCATGGTCAAGTACCTTCGCTCGTATGAAAACCAGAAGGTCAGAGTCTGCAGCAGCATGTGATAAAGAAGAGGAACAAAAAGAAACATGGCATTGCAGAGAAGCAAACTGCATTACAGCCTCATGGTCCACATTAAAGGAAGGAGAAGTGGAGCTGTAGAATTTGCTTTCGAAACACCACTTCACGCCAGTCTAAGTTGACGAAGCTACCATCCAAGGCTCACGAGCCTGCAACAGTGCAACTGCGCCATTATGTTTTAAAAGAGGGCGGCTGCTTTTGCTACCGGCCCAGGCCCAAACCAAAATGCTCTTACGGCGCAAACCGGTAAGAACAGTACTCTGCTTCCCGTGAACTGGCGGTTTATCATGCTTGATGCGCATAGAGAATGCGACAGGCAGCTCGATGATACAATATGTTCGACACACATACAACATGCCTCAGATGCATGTTGTTGGTAAAGAGAAAAGCCTGGGGTGTCGGAGAGTTTTTGCCGTTGATGAGCTGCAGGGGCCGGAGGCCGAACTGTCCCTTAATTCCCCCTTTGAACTTTGTTCCATGCTTGTCGGTGAAAAACAACCGGACTGGTGCCCCCTAGAAAAGACAGGGCTATCTTTGAAAAACAAAAAGAATAAATACCAGGAAAAAAAAAAAAAAAAAAAAGCAAATGATTTAACATGCACGTTGCAGGGAAAGAGAATGATGATGGACTTCACGAGATGCTAGACACCCATGCGCGATGAGCACAAAATTCACACATTGGAGGAGGAAGATGCTTGAGCGGGCTCTAATACTTTCATTGTCCCAGTTGCAATCCGAGCATCGTGAGACTGTCACGGCTCATTGAAACAGGGGTGAAATTTCGAAATTACAATTATCCCCTTCCTCCCTTCAATTCTTCCTTTTTATGTTTCTTTATTGTGCATCTGGATTCAAACTTGGATCTGAATTTGAACAGTTCACGGGTGTACCAACTGAGCCTGGCACGTTGATTATTCAAAATATGCCGACACTTCAGCAACCCACGACCATCACCACGGTACCATGGAGTCCAGTCACCAAATAACCCGCCATCGTCATGCTGCTTTCCAGGCTGCAGCAGTGATAGCATACTTAAGCAGGGCACAGAACGAAAAAACAACAGCTGGATGGCTGACATGCCTGGACCCTACGGTCCTGAAAAAGCAAGAGGGAGGAAGTTCGGGAAAGGAGGACGAAGTTAGGGGAATGGCTGGGTGAGTTATTTCTACCTCCACAGTTTAGAAGTTCGAGCTCTGCTACGTTATGAAGCATGGACTGGCGGTTGTGCAGCTGCTGTATAGCTTCAGGAGGATCCAACACAACCACATCAGGATGAGCTTGCCGATACACCTGCAAACAAAACCACGAGTCAAATGCACAATTTACTTCTAACAGGGAATGGCAGATGACTTGGAGAAAATGACACACATGCTGCAACCGTGCTCAGGTCAAAAGCCTTCCTTCCGATGAATCATCCATGAAGAACGCCCTTGCAGTGATTGATTGAGGTCCGGTCGGTGCCGTGAGGTACCCCTCGTGCACTTGGGTTGAGTGGAGTATGGGTACACCGGGTCATGAGTGAACTTCCAACTGGGTCATGACTGAACTTCCAATGTCTTCCATGCTGGCTTGGGGTGAAATGTCCCTCACGGAGCTTCACTTTCATCCCAGCTCACTTGAACAGCGGGCAATGATATACACAACGAACTTTGTTGGTTTATTAACGTTGCCTGATTGTTTTACGTTTGTCTAAGTACATACCGAACTTGAACGAAGGACAAAGTACCGCCACCCACAGCCAACAGTTCTCAAGCAAGCCAGATTGTTTTACGTTTGTCTGAGTACATAACATGATAACCTTCATCAACACCCATGTAGCCAACCAGCAGAGTACTTCACAATGCGGGCTGCATGGCCAATCCTCAGCACAGGGCGGTTCCCCTCAGTATATAGTAAGCTAAGGTGCATCTGGGAATGAGCGCACACCAGACACACACAGAAGCATAGTCACAGCTTGCCATCCGTCGACAGTGCAACATGCAAGCAAAGGACATAAATGTATGCGTGTCTATATGTGTGTGTGTGTGTGTGTGTGTGTGTGTGTGTGTGTCTGCGTGTGTTGTCCTGATCGCTATACACAATTCCACAAAAGGTACGACTTTGCCAGTCTGTTTCCTCGGACTTTCACCGACTAATCAGGAGGTTGAACCCCGACAGTCTCCCCAGGATGCATTTGACGGATGGATAATCTCCTCACGTCGCCCAGGGTTAGCGATACCCCTCACAAAGGTGGTTGCCTTTACTCGCACCAACCTGTGTGCGACATATCCATGAAATAGAGGAGTGAGAGTGACGGTCGGGGGAGGAAAAGAGGGAGAACAAGAGGGAGAAAAAGAGGAAAAAAGAGAACAATGGAGACAGCAGTATTAGATGCGATTTGGCAGCCAATGGTAGAAGAGCAGCAGACAACCACATTCATGTGAAAGTACAGCACACTTTGAGCGACCTCGAATAACCAGCCAGAAACGCACAAGCTCATGTCACCACTTTGCACCACATTTTGGAGTGGAATACAGGGAGCACTATCGTCTGAAGGCAATGGGAGGACCAGCATTGGCCCCACACTGGTGCCCACACTTCCCAGCGGCAGCAATGGGAGGACCAGCATTGATCCTGTGAGAAGAACCAGGGGCCTAGGTGGCTTTCAAATTTCACCCAAAGGGCTACCAGGGCTACAGAAGGAGGCCGAAAGACTGTTTTCACATAAATAGAGGTCTCTCAAGAATCCTTTCTTCACCTCAAACATTCAGGCACATGTACATGTTACGCCCATAGTTAAAAAAAAAACACAACCTTATGGTTCTGGAATCTGGCTCCTTATCCATTTTGGGATTACACCCAGATTTTTAATTCCTGGGCAAGGAGTTTCAAATCCTGTCCCATCGAACAACAGTCTCGAGTTGTCCCCCCTTTCTTGACCAGCAAAGAGACCGGGCCAACATCTCATATAGGGCACGGGAAAGTGGAGGGAAACGGTTAGGTTGTGAGCGCGGACTGAAAACCCACCTGGAAATATTTCCAGTGTCGACGCAGGATCGCAGGCAAGAGGCATCGACAGACAGTGAGCAATCATTTCAAAAGTCAGGGGTGCTGCAGTACAGCGGAAAGCCAATCACATACACAAAAGTTGAAACACAGAAAAATGAACAACAACACAAACAAGGGGACTGGAAAAACTTCACGAAAGGTTTTGGAGCGAGCATGATTGTGTCCTGAACTAATCAAGCAGAAATGGAAAGGCTTGTTTACTATACTTAACCAGCAAGAAAACGTGTGCCAATTTAGCAAAAATTGGAGGCAACATAAATCACTTCATTTTCTTCCAAAAGATGAGAACCGGTGTCGACACAGGATCGCAGGCAAAAGGAATCGACAGACAGTGAGCAATCATTTCAAAAGTCAGGGGTGCTGCAGTACAGCGGAAAGCCAATCACGTACACAAAAGTGGAAACACAGAAAAATGAACAACAACACAACAAGGGAACTGGAAAAACTTCACAAAAGGTTTTGTAGCGAGCATGATTGTGTCCTGAACTAATCAAGCAGAAATGGAAAGGCTTGTTTAATCTACTTAACCATCAAGAAAATCTGTGCCAATTTAGCAAATATTGGAGGCAACATAAATCAATTCATTTTCTTCCAAAAGACGAGAACCGCACACCGGGCTACAATGTCCCTGGACAGGTGCTAGACCCATGTATGGGACTTATGGGACTTCAGCTCGCATGCGAAAAAAAACGGACCTTCATGGTTTGGGCCCAGCACAGGCACACGCTGTCATGCGCTGCAAAAGACGAGCAAGAGTTTACATAGCTGCAATTCTATATTTCCATTGCTACCCTGCAAGGTTGCTGTTGATGTGGTCGCTCACAAATAAGGTCAAATGACAGCTTGGCATCAAAATTACCGCGTACATCATGTACATCGCTAGCAAGCATCTTTCTCTGATAGATTCGGCCATACCATAGGAGCAATCTTGAAAGAGTCCTTGCAGGGCCAGGCTCCCGCGAACTGCCGTGCAGCTCAAAGAGCCTGGAGAAGTGAGCGGGCTAAGTACTGGTGGATGGTGTGTACTGATTGGAGTGAAGTGTGCGAGAATTGCCGTGTCTGCGGGTGTTGAGTGGGGTGCATCGAGTTGGACGCGACAGCCTTGCAAAGGGTGGGGTGGAAATCACAACCGTCATGGTTCCACTTTTGAACACCGCGTCCTGCCTGTAGTGGTTATAAGAGACTTGGCTCTTGAGGCCGAGGTCGTCGGTTCGAATCCTTGCCTGCACGGAGGAGGGTATTGGCACAGATGCATGTATTCAGAAACCAAGAGCTAGCTTCCAAACGCCTGACACAAAACCATTTTGACACCTGGTAATGCAGTCCGGGCATGCACTAAGTGAATCAGCCAAACTAGACAGCACCATACAGAGCATCGCATTCTTCAGACAAGACCTCATAGAAGCCTATGGACGAATCATGTCTTCAACAATAACACTTCAGTAATCACACATGAAAAAGGAACGCAAGGTGTAGCTAGCATCAGCTGCTGGATGGGATCTTCAGAAAGATTTCGACACATCATACATCCAATGTTGGTTGTGAAAACAGCAGCACAGAAATTAATGAAATCATAGCCAAATTGACTCCCTAAAACGATCAAGCTATAAACAGGAAATAAAAGACAGGGAAGACGTTCAAGATCCCAATGGAAGAAATTCGGAAAATTAAGCCAGTTAGACTGAGGAAAATAAACTACCTAACAGTTCCGGAGGAACGGGGAAAACAAGCTGTGGAACAAGAAGAACATCAAAAACAAGGAAAAGGACCACATGAATGTGTATGAATGGGTTCACACATGCGGACACATCTCCATGCCGTGTCAATGCATGAGACAAGGAAGAAAAGGGATAACGAACAGAACCCAGCCTCTCTCTCTCTCTCTCACACACACACACACACACACACACACACACACACACACACACACACACCAAACACACACACACACACACACACCACACACACACACACACGCACACACACATACACACACACACACACACACACAAGACGAAGAACAACAAAATCACGACGAAGAACACGTACAGGGGATGTGAAGGCGCCAGCGACGAGGACAAGAAGGACACCACAGGAGATGGAGGGGGAGGATGGAGGAGGAGACGAGGTCAAAGGTCGTCACTCCCAGTCAATTGTTCACTCGAACTGGATCAACCATTGTCCCAATCCACTTTCCCTTGGGGCACTGCACCGGACCAGAACCTGGATCAGTAGGCAGGACCAAGTTACTGGTACATGCAGATCTTCTCTGCCGGCAAACACAACAGGCCAGCGAATCCTGCGGCAAGTTTGCTAAAGTTGAGGTTGCGTTCCGGCCAACACACAATTGCCATTCACATAATGCTATTAGACTATGACATTCCAAGTTTGTGGAAGGCACCCAGCTGCAGTTGCAGGAACATCGAATCGAAGGGTGCTGTATTCAGACACTGGAGAAGATGTTGAGATTGTGAATGGCGTTTCAACAACACGCATGAGACATTCGCCAGTGGCACCATCAGTCACTTGAGAGCGGGCAGCAAACGGCCGTTGATGTGCAACCACGGGAGCTGTTTATCCCACCTTCACCACTCTTTAACCTCTGTGCATGCCACATTAAACGCAGTATTGGTTTATGTGCAAGGATCTGACTGATAGGTAAGAAAAAACACTGTATGGAGGTGGCACTAAAAGAGCGGCCTTGGGCTGATGAGCACAGAATGCTCATATGATAGCATATGAGACACGCTAATGTTCTAAAGAAAAAATGCGGACAGACATCGCAAATCTCATTATCCTAGTCACTGACTAATCAATGGAGTTTTTTTTTCTCTTCTTCCTTTCTTCTTTTCTTCTTTTCTTCTTTTCTTCTTTCACGTTTCTTTTTTCTGTCATTATCCTACTGTCTTCACCCGAATAGAACGCCCGGTAATTATTGCTGTAGGTGGACTGAAAGCTGCACCAAATACAGATATAATGACCGGGCGTTCTATTCAGGTGAAGACGGTATTCACTGGCTAATCAATTCTTTACTTCTTTTCTTCTTCTCTTCTTTCAGTTTTTCTTTTTTTTTCCTTTAGACTTTTTACCCCCTTCACAATGCATGCTGTCACAGAAGCAATGATTTGCATAACCGTTACCCCCTTCACAATGCATAGCTTGTCATCTCTCGGGTCTGGCCGCGGGAGGGGGGGGGGGGGGGATAACGTTTTTTGCATGTTGTGTAATTTTATGGCCAAAATGAAACGCATCTCTTCGGCAAGATTCAGCAATAGCTCCCATGCACACCTCACCAGGCCAACTGATTAGGACTCAAAATCAGGCCTGCCTTAGCATATTCTTGTGTGTGGGTGTGTGCATGAGGGAGGGAGGGAGGGAGAGAGAGAGAGAGAGAGAGAGAGAGAGAGAGAGAGAGAGAGAAAGAGAGCTCACCTCCAACTCCCTGGGCCACTCCTTTCCTGGAAGCTAACAAACAAACAAACAACAGGGATAAGAAGAGCAGGCAACGTTAATAAAGTTAAATAAACCAACAAAACGGCGGCAACAACATGATGGACAGAAACCTAAGGAGAGTGGAGGAAAGACAAAGTGAAGCACTGAGAGAGTAGAGAGAGAGGGGCAAGGTATTATACTCCTCGGCAACCAATGAAAGGAGTCCGATCCGATCCGATCCAATCCGCATTACGAACATGTCAGCATTAGGCTAGTAAGATCAAAACCCCGCTAATTTCCATAGCTGCAGCTCGGCAGAGTGAAAACTAGAACAACTGAGCCTACAGAAGCACTCACATGGATGTAGGAAATTGTTGTGGAGCTTGAACTGACATGCTCTGCAGAGCCCAGAGGAGAAAGCAGTTGGATGTATAGAACCATTACACAGCTTCACAAGGCAAGCGAATACCTGAATCTTCAGACGCAATCTCACTAATCAAGCAAAGGTCACTCATTCCAGATACACAGTAGCAAGCATGCACAGAAAAAGAGCAGCTTTCCCCAAACTCCAAAAATGCTTGTTACAACATAGCAGCCCTGAGGCATAGAGTAGCAGTGTGTTGTGATGAAAATGCACGAGAAACTGGAGAAACATACAAACGGCCCAGAACGAATTTTCTGGACGCAGTGAAGCAAACGAGGGGCTGGTCTGCTTTTCAGTGCCCGTTGTAATGTTCACCATACAAAATCCACACACACACACACACACAAAAAAAAAAAAAAAAAAAACATGACTGTGCCGGACTGTTTCGACAGACTTTCACCAACTCATCAGGAGGTTGAACCTGGACAGACAGTCTGCCCAGGATGCATTTGACTAACTGATGGATAAGGTATTAACGACTCACCATGTCGCGTAGAGTTATACACATCCTTCAGAGAGAAAAGTGGTTGACTTTACCCACACCAACCCTGCAATCCTAGCAGACTGTAGGTCCAAACCCCTGACAAGAATGGCACAGGACTTTTTTTTTTTTTTTTTTTTTTTTTTGGGGGGGGGGGGGGGGGGGGGGGGGGGGGGGGGGGCGGATTTCGGAGTTTACCCTATTCTTTAAAACAGAAGGAAAAAAGAAGAAGAACGTCTCTCACCTTATGAAGGATCACATCAAATGGGCCTTGCTCAAGTAAAGGCCGACTGCGATCTATTTCAACAAGATTAATGCCGTGTTTCCTGCACATCATGGTCAGCACCGTCAGCATCATGGTTGTTCTCATAAACCAGATACACACACACATTCGGGCACAAATTATTGCCAAAAAAAAAAAGAATCTCTAACTGAGTTTTGGTTAAATTTGAAATATTTTGCTCACGTGCCAAAATTGAACAAGGTTTTTTTTTTTTTTTAATTTGGCGATGATAACTTGGGGTTAATGCATACCGCCTTCTATCTAAAAGGGCCTTTACCCGATATAGGCCTCAGGCCTTGTAAAAATAGAGCAGCACGGGCCTTGTAAAAGTAAAGCATTGTGAAAAGGTATCTTGCCAGGGCTCAGAAACGTGAAAACAGGTCAAAAGTCAAGTTCTCTATCAACAGGCACATCTAGATCTAAGGCAATGCCCAGAGCAGCACGGGCCTTGTAAAAGTAAAGCATTGTGAAAAGGTATCTTGCCAGGGCTCAGAAACGTGAAAACAGGTCAAAAGTCAAGTTCTCTATCAACAGGCACATCTAGATCTAAGGCAAAGGGCATTGTCAAAAGACTTACATGTTCACCAGGAGATGTGTATGTCATGTCTGTTCGAGTAAGGGTGTGTCTGTACGTGTAGGCAGTGTACCTGTTCTGTCTCTTATACACATCTAGATGTGTATAAGAGACAGGTACTATAAAAAGAGCTGCCTGCCTCATTCCTCGCCAGATCTCCACTGGTTGCAATGCGTGGAAGTGCTGGTGCACTTGTGCGCTGAGTCAGGAGGAGCAGCGCTGGAGGAGAAGACGCGCTGGAGGGAGGAAGATGCCTGTACGCTGGAAGTGATGCAGCCATAGCTGCCCAGCGAGTTAGCATTAGTAGTAGAGGGTTAGTATGTAGCTATGAGTAGTATCCAGAGTAGATCCTCATGAGTATTGAAGAGTGTGTATGCATCATAGGAGGAAGGGATTGAGGCTGAGAGTGTTCATTCAAGGTTGGCTATGGAAGATACTTACCTGAGTTGGATGTGACCTGCAGAGGTGGCGCTGATGAGTGGTGACCACATTGATGTTTTGGAGACTATCTGCAGGGGTAGCACTGATTCACTGGAAGGCATATTGATGAGTTGGCAAGATATTGGTGTTGCGCTGATGAGCGCTGGACTCAGGGGAACTTTGAAACACTTTGTATTCATATTTCTGATAATATAAACTGTGAAACTCGGTCCTCATCTTCTCTATCTTTGTCTATTGTCAGACTACTGTTCATTGTGTGTGGGAGTACAATGCATGGCATGTACACACTTGCGTGAGATGGTCCCCAGGACCCATGCATATCATCTGGAGCACGGTCCCATTAGCAGTCGTATAGGAGTGTGGCCGATCCAGTGTGACACTGAGTGGCAGCAGGCTGACAGGTTCATTACGAATTTCTGGGCTGAGAAAACAGGAGAAAGGCAAAAGAAAAAAAAAGAAACAGAGACCTCCTACAGGAAATCACGGCAGAGTGCTTCCCAGCCATCAGATTTGATGGTAGTGGTTGCAACAACAGTGAACAAAGTAGCCACCACATTTTCTGGAATAAACTCGACTTCTGTCAGCAGTGATCCTGACACCCTCCATATACTCCGTGATTGAAGGAGGGCTCCACCCCAAACCGATTGAAAAGATTATGGCAGGAAGCTTTCTTGGCACGGGCATGCCCAGCATTAAGGAGAGGAGGGGACCAAAGATCTCCTTACTTTTTCGGGTAATACATGTAAAATACTGACCGTGGGATCACGAGTACTGCACGGCAGGGTTTGGGTCACTCAACTGCCCCACAAACTCGTTTCTACCCTATCACGGCAGGAGTTGGTGAGAGTCCGATGAAACAGTCTGGCACAGTCTTTTTTTCTTTTTTTTTTTTTTTTTTTTGTGTGTGTGTGTGTGTGTGTGGATTTCTGTATAGCGAACAAGACAACGGGCACTGAAAAGCAGACCAGATCCTCAACATCAACCTAATCCTGATGTGTGTGATCATCCACGTCATCAACAACTCTATTTATTTATTGACTTATTTATTCGTTTATTTATTTCGCAAGGAAAATGAGCAATAGCGAAATTCAGAAACACCAAGCAGCATCATATATATGAAACCAGACAGTCTTGACCTCCAACCAAAAGCAGAATTATTGCAACTGGAGTTCCACCAAATAAGAGCACAGCAGAAGCTCACAAGTGACAATCATCAACATCAACAATGAACCAATGTCGTCCCCCTAACTGGCGCTCAGCGACCAGACTACGAATGGCAGATCCTATCTAGCCTATATCTAAAATGTCGCCGGTAACGTCAACAGCTTTCCAAAGTACGAGCAGATCTCGGTCAATGCCGTTCGCATCAAGCACCAGGTATATGTCCCTCTCCTCCTCACTCACAACCTCGATCCTCCACACAGATGCCACATGCACCCGAAGACCACCATGCGCCCCATCCAGCAACACGCAGGCCAGCCCGGCTATGGCTGCCTGCTTCTTCCCTGCTCGCCCGTGCGCGCGCGTAGGCACTCGCTCCAGCAGCTGGCGCAGCTGTGCTTGCACATAAGCAGCGAGTGCCCGACAGAATGTCCAGCCAGCGGCCAGGCCCTTTCCTGTATGGAAAGTGGCCTCCAGTCGTGAGCTGCCTGGCTGGCCTGGGCCTCTCCCAGGAAGCTTCCAGTACTGGAAGCCCCAAGTGGCTGAGCCCCTGTCCCAGGGAATCATCCACAGGGCCTGGGGAGCTTACCCGTGTCCAACTGTCCAGGGGCTTGTGTTCAGTTCATGCCACGTGTCTAGCCCACGGCCTGCCTCGGATACAATTGGAAAAGCCAGGCATGGCCTGGGCTCACTCAACCAACTGATGACCATTTGAACGAATTATATACTAGATGAAATTACAACCTCTTCGTAAATAAAGGTGTTTAAAAAAAATAATAATAATAATAATAAAGAAGTATTCTTTCTAAATCAATAATAGCGATTTCATTTCGTAGTCGGCTGCGCAACTGCCCGAGTTCCCCCGTTTGCAACCAACTAAAGAAGTGTTCTTTCTAAATCAATAATAGCGATTTCATTTCGTAGTCGGCTGCGCGACTGCCCGAGTTCCCCCGTTTGCAACCAACTCAAAAATAGGCCTCTCGTCATTTTGCAAGCCTGCCTTCACTTAGGGGGGCGACCCTACATGCTGGAAACAGGGCCCAGTAGGGCTTGCCGAGGCCAAGGGCCTCGCAATTTGCCACCCTTGGAACAACAAGGGCCATGCTAATCTTCTCTCTGTATCATTCCAATTTTAACGCTATGTGGCAAAGCATCAGGTCGTCAACACTTTGCAATTCCGCTCAATCAAATTACCCACTTGCCATACACGTCATCAACAACTAATTCTTCACTACTCTATGTAATCAAATTAAATTAATTATTCGCTGCTCCATTTAATCACATTATTCCCTCCTCCACTAGGCTACGAGAGGCCGGCCCGCCCGGGTCACCCTGTTTGCCGGGGTGGCCCGGCCGTGCAAGGACCAGAGACGATCCCAGCCAAAAAAAAAAAAAAAAAGAATGCAAAAAATATGAAAAATATATATATAATGCAGAAAAATAAACTGAACAACTTTCGCCTCAGGTTCACATCGAAATTCTTTACCAGATTTAGAATTTAAAATATATTTTTGGGCCCGGCCAGGCAAGTGGTCCCGGAAATTTTATCTTTTACTTTAAATTTGGTAAAAACATTCGATGTGACCCTGAGGCAAACGCTGTTACTGCATAAGCTAGGCTACCACAGTGGCCCGGGACCACTTTCCCGGCCGGACATAAGGGAAGAAAAAAAAAAAAATCTTCGTTTTATTTTTTATTTTAAAATTTTGGTAAGGAATTCCGATGTGACCTTGAGGCAAAAATCGTTCAGTTCATTTTTCTGCCTACAACAGAGTTGCCAGGCCGAACGTACGGAGGCCCCTAAGCTGACCCCCGAACGTTCGGGCGTTCGGGTCCCCGTACGGGGCCCGAACTCGAAGGGGTTCGGACCCCGCAAAAAATTATTTCGGTACCTAAAAATTATTATTTTTTCTGATTTTTTTTTTGTGAGTTCTCTGTTATGTAAGCTACCTGTCTCTCAATTTTGAAGTCATTCTGTGGAGCCAAAAAATAATGAAAAATCGGCAAAGATGGTAGTGTCAAAACATGCTTTTCCACTTACTAATTTGTTTTTTTTCTCTTTTCACTTTTTGTTTTCCCTTTATTTCGGGGCCTGAAAAAAAATATTATTTTTTCAAACTTTATTTGTAGGTTCTCTATGATGTAAGATACAGATGTACAAAATTTCATGGCATTTGACAAAGCCAAAAAAAAATGAAAAATCGCCAAAGATGGCGGTGTCAAACACTTGCTCGCCCACGCAATAATTTCATTCTCG